GGAAAAACTGTTTCGACTCGCGAACGGAGTCAAAGAACGAATTAAGTTCGTGACTCGAGGTACCACTGTAGTTGTCTAGAGGGCATGTATGCAAACCATAGTTCAACGGATTTGAGCATCTGTAGTGCTGGGTGCATCGGGCATAATTTTACAGCTTAACATGGCTCATCGTTATTCACTCATTAACGGTGTTTTGGGCTGCCGATGCGTCTTTTATGCTACCGCACAACAAGATAATCTCTACGTGTGTTCAAATGCCGAGTGTGTTAATCTGGCTTTGAACACCTCTAATCACCTAATTTCGGGGTTTATACTCCCCTTGGCCATAGTTGTCTAGAGAATATTGTCATGCCACTATTTGAGAGCAGCAGAGTCGCGACCTCTGAATATCTTATTCTTCATCTGTTTTACTGCGCTCTGTGTATCTGGATGTAAAAGTCCAAATTACGTGTTCAGTCGTCTTGAATGATTTCCCATAAAAGTGTGTTACCCGCCCAAGCCATGATCCACGCCATCTTACGTGTTCTGTCATTTTAATAGACGTTGCAAACAGCAAAAATTATATGATAGTGCCTTCTCTACAGGACTGTCTAATGAATAACTTGTTTTCCTCTGTATCTACCGTATAAACTCTTACTCGCGATGTTTTCAGTTTTCATTTTTTCATAGGGTATCGCTTGACTCGGCTAGGAGTAGGAGGCTATACATAGGTTCCCCGTGACGCTCTGGGCAGCACAGACGTCAGCTTTCTGAGCATTGAGCATAGGATAATCAGAACTAGGACAAAGTTTAAAGAGTTGATGCACGCTGAAAACATCTAGTCGTTTGGTTCTGCGTGTGTTATTGTAAAAGTGGCCGAATTAGTGTAAATCAGGTCAATGCCTCGTTGTTGAATTGTTCTAAAAAGCGTGGAAAAAGCAGGCAAGAGTCAGACATGCAGAGCATGGCTACAGCATGCTTGTAAAATTAAACACACTTATTTTTTTAACTTTTACGCGTCGCAATTGTTAATAAATCGTTTTTGGATCCTTATAAAAGTGGCATTCGAATAGCATTTTTTATCTTGGACTGGTTGGGCACTGCAATATGGCATTCACTGGCAGTGGATGCTTATCTACGCCTTGTAGAAGCATCCAAATGGTCTGGAACCCAAGAACACAGTGCATTTGCGTTTGCGAGTGCGATTTGCGTTACCGTGTCCCAGTTAATGCTGTTTGCCTCATGTATAAATTTAATGGTCATTTAAAGCAGTGTTAAGTACAACCGGGTGTCTTCTAAGAGGTGGCTCTGCACCATGAGACGACCAACTGTTGCTACTGCTGCTCGCCTGTGTCTACTTTGACTTAACCAGAGTTGTTTGATTTAAGATCAGTTTCAACAAAAACGAGTCATGTAAGCTGCTGTGTCGGAAAGTCTACAAAACTGGCAAAGTGGAAGACCAAAGAAAATTGGACCGGCTGGTGCTCGCGATCAAAGAGAGCTATGCCCACCATTGGTATGAATGTCCTAATGGGGGTGTGTTATAATGCCGAAGTATCGCATTGGTTCTATTTAAGGATAGTTGACAACATGCCGGTGCTATTCTGTCCATCGACCGTGGAAAAGAGTTGCCTGAACGAATTCCCCGTAGGCTATGTTGCCAGCAGTTTCGAGAAGAGCTCGGTAGCGTAGCGATGTTTTGTGACGCACGCGATGTCGAAGCTTAAGCGATTGCATTTCAGAAACAAAGTGACGACGCCGTCTATCTGTACAACCACGTGACGATCACGATAGAATACCACGACCTTGGAAACGATCCGAATTTTCTCGATCAGCCAGTCGGTGGGCGAATCATCTCCGTCAGAGTGGCTCCTTTAAGGTGGGTGTTTTAGCCATTTGTTCCCATGACAGACCGTTTTTTCTTGCTCACTGGAAAAGTTGCGTTCTGTCTTGAAGTTCTAGAGTTCGTGTCTTACGAAAAATTTCGTTAATTTTCATGCATACTGCTCAGCAGACGTTCATCACAACTACCCTTATGTGAATTACGCAACAACAGTAAGTAGTTGCTAACACTTATGTCTTTCGTCAGGACAGTAAGAACAGAGACAACGATTACTATCCTGATAGGAGGCTTTATCCTTTCTTCTTTTGAGGAGACTATCGTCGGAGGTTATTATTTTTTACTGAAGATTGACTAGTTTTTTCGTGCCTTGGTGTTCATACTGAAAACTGAAA